AAAAAAAAGCTTGGGAACGCTTTACTTAATGATAAATTGTGGAAAAAAGCTCAAAAGACAATAACATGACAGATGAGGAATCAAATCAGGCTAGCAATAGGGTAAATCCTGGGAGAATAGACTGAATATAAAGCATACGTACCAGCCGGAGCGTTAACTCCTCGATTTGAAAGCAACTGACTGGAAATACCCGTGCCGCATAGACATAACGACAATACTTGCCCCAAGGCGATTGATCGAAACGTCCGACTGAAATGGAAATCAATCAATAAATTGGTAAGATCTTTAAAGATGGAATTTGGGGGGAAGGGGAAGGAAGTATTTCTTAAGGATTATTTAGTTTACAAAAGGCATATTTTTTATGTTCTTAACTGTGACAAAACATGGAAAATTCTAGAAGAGCTTTTTAAGGAAAAATAATACAGGAAAGAAATTTTGAAAAATCAAGTAAATAAATAAGTGATTTTCAAAATCTTCACATCTCGTTTCTAAATGTACAAGAAGTAATAAGAAAGCGAAATAGGAATGAAAGAGAACATAAGCAGAGTGAAAAGTGTAAAATGAAATTAAATAAGCAGTCAAAAGTAGATTTGGAAGGAAAATAGAATAAAATTTTCCGAATAAAAATAATTTTGTGAATACAGTCTGCTCGGAAGTTTCTGGGAAAGGTAGCAGCTCGAAATAATTGTGTACAGCCGAGAAAAGGGACTCATAGGGGAATTTCCATATTTAAGATAAAATAAAAAATCAACAGACTAGTAGGAGTGGAACGAAAACAGTTGAATCAGTAAAATAAAATCTAGAAATAAATCCAATTGAGGTATTTTTCTAAAAGTATAATATTATTTAAAGAAGAAATATCACAATGAACGCAATTCACTCGAAGATTCCAGAAAAGGAAGCAGCTCAAAATGAAACATAGTCAAACATTGAACTCTAAAATATAATAAAACATAAATATATAAAGAAAATACGCGTAAGTTAGAATGTGAAAATAAAAGGATATTGAAAAAAAGCAAACTAGGTTCAACACAAATTAGATTAAATATAAGGCGATAATTGTTACTTGAAATAGGTAATAATCTTTCGAATGGAAACCACCTAGCGATTGAAATCAGTCCAGAAATTTCTGGAGGAGAAGAAAGAAATTTCTGCCCAGAATAAAAGTGTAAAACCAAAAAAAAAGTAAGAAAAAGTGAATTACTGGATTCTGGTCAGGAGCTCGGACGACTTCCGTGGACAATCGATCATCCCGTTAGATTCGATTGATTGATATGTGGCCATTTTATGCTTTGATTAGTTATCATTCCGGCCTTCATTGTCATGTCCCAAAATAGCAGTCCGATTGCAAAGTGCGGCATGATAAAACTGTGCAAAAGTTGCGGTCGATAACGACGTCATAATTGCACTTTTACAGCTTTTTCACTATTGCCCATTCATTTGCAACTCCGATAAATGACTTCTTATCTATTCAACTCCGAAAAAGCAGCATTTGTACGAGTTTGATGGAGGACTTTTTCACTCTATCTGCTAGATAAATAAAGTCTCTAGTCTGGTCTAATTCGCTATTTTAGGTTTCAATTTTTAATTATTTCTTATCATTTGCGCCTGGCAGCAGGCCTTACGGCACTCCAACGCGATTTTTAGGTGATTGTACAATTTCTAACAAAAAAAAAAAAACCAAGACAGGGTAAGTCCGCAGAGCGTCAACCCTTGGTAACAACTTCTTTACAAACAATTTTTGTTGGTTATTGATTGACTGAGCCCGATCCAGATCAGTGGTGATTGATTGGTGGGCAGAGGAATCAATAAACAGATAAACCTCATCACCTGACATTTTCGTCGTCACAACATGGCGAGCAATTGATACCGTCCTCTTCCGATTCATCAGGAGAAGTCTGTGGTGGTCTGAAGAGGGGTTGATAAAACATAATATTTTATTCTTCGAGAAAAAGCTATACAGTTTAGGTGAATGGAGTTCTAATTATTATTGAAAAACTATAATTACATTATAAATTAGAACCGGATCCTAAGTGCATCATCCCGGAATCTTAGATTTCGTAACTTGGGGGCGTGGCCAAAATTTTCCTTATAAAGATTGGCTTTCAACATAGCAGTGCATGGTAAAAATGTTGTAACTGTGTGGGCAACGCCTGCTTAGAACTAGGCCCCTGTTCCATCAAATGAAGAAATTTTTAAAAGATTCCCAAGTCACAGGCATGTCAATTTCAACGTCTCAAAATCTCATACTGCTCCATGGCAGACCATCCTTGAACTCGTAGCGCTTTTAGAAGCTCAGAAAAATGATTAGACTATAGCAGTTAAGCAAAGAAGAGGCAGGATGGCAGAGTGATGTCAAAAGGTAGTAACAAAAAGAGACATGGCAACAAAAAAGAAGACAAGTGTCAAGTGAGTGAGGAAAGAAAAAATTAAAGGCACGAGAATGTACAAAAAAGCAAGATTATGGAGTTGTGAATCACGAAAACGATCAGTTCGGAAAGGAAATTATTATTTTGGCAAAACGTGAAATAAGAAGAAGGGACACAGTTCCACCTAGCAGTTCGATAAAATCCAGGACACTATGCATAGAATACCCATCAATCCCACAAGGTGAAGAAAAGAAAAAGTGGTATGGATGCCCACCATATACTTGTACAGGTGGTCAAGTATCGTTTTGAACTTAGATACAGCAGATACGGTACAGTCCCAACCAGATAAGCGGGGATTCCTAGCCTCATGCATAGCTTTTGCACACAAACACTCTCTAGTCAATGCAAAATCTGGCCAAGCCCCGGAAGCAAGACTTTGCTAGACGAAATAGAGCTGGATACCTTCGCACTACCCTAATCGTATTGAGAAAAACTCAAAAAAAAAAATCTCGAAACTCGAATCTTCGAAATCTCGAACTTAACCCTTTTGCCGTTTTTAGAGTGAATCCCAGGCTATCTTCCTTCATTATACAAAAATCTGTAGAAATAAATTCCATCACGATTGTTCGAATACCTTTGCACGGCGAAAGGATTCCGATGAGGTTGTACTCCTGGAGGATAGGCGGGTCCATTGGCTAAGCTCGGACCTGAAAGAAATTGTATCATGTTTTGATAGGACTCTATGATAGTAAGTTAGAATAATAAACAAAAAAATAAAAAAGAGACTAAGTAGTGATAATATCGATTGAAAAATAAATAAATAATAGAGATCGATAAAGAACACTCGAAATACCGACAAACGACCATAGACTTAGAGGACAGAAGCTCAGCTCAGCTTTTACCTACCTGGTATTGGTTGTGTTGTTACCATGCTGTGATAGTAGGGCGGATGGTAGCCCAGCCCTTGGCTCGGAGCAAACAACGGCCGACGTTCTGCGTACGGGGACTCGTAATACGAGTACGATTCTGGAAAAGGAACAGCTACAGTAGGATTAGAATTGCACACTTACACTTTCTCTCTATCAGACTACCGAACACTTCAAGTGGTCTTGTAAAGAATTGATCTAGGTAACAGATGAATGGTGATCTTATGAAGATAACAATGGATAGGGAGGTGTGCGCTTTTGGGGTCACCGAGAGACATCAGGTAATCCGATCCAACAGGTCAATCAAGCCTCTCGATCTCAGGGGTTGCCCTCAACCGGATTTGTCTGGGGCGGCGAACAATGGTTGTAAAATGATACTTACCGCAAACTACTGCTTAGGATGGGAAAGTATACAAGCACTTTCGCATTTCTTTACAAACGGATGAATTACAAAGAGCACTTGCATCCCTTTTCCGCTGGTATTTGGACGTGCTGTTCGAACCAGTTCTTCATTTTACCAGCTACATGCCCTTGCGATGTTCCCATAGAAATCTTGAGAGTGCTCGCAAAATTTTGGAATCTATTTCATGGGGATGAAAGGGATTTCTTCCCCAACAAAAGGATACCTGTGCTCCTCGCAGGACTAGAATAAATTCCAGAAATTTAAAAGTATTCCTTCATTCATTTTGCTACTCCTAAGCTGTAAAGGACAGTTTTCTATAATAAAAATCGAACAACCAATAAAACAAGCCATTCAAGAAGACACAACAGATTTAGTGTAAACACATGTAGAACAGGTGGGGCAACAGCGAATTTGATGAGTTTTTCAGCAACTTGGAGGTAATCTGCTCTGAAATTCTGGCTGGCACAAGAAATCTCTTCCTCAAAGTACCGGACTGAGTTTTCAGGGGAAAAGGGAGGGTAGATATTAGTGTCAGAATTTTATCGTGAAAAGGAAGTATTATATTTAAAATCTCAGAGATACAGAACTTCGCTAGAAAATTAAAGTGAGAGATCAGTTGTCCGAAAATATTTCAAAGCTTATAACTTTCATAGGTTGGTTAGAAACAAAGACTATCAAGACGCCTTCTGGGAACTTCTGAACTCTGATGTTGATTTCTGGTCACTCCAGAGGTCCCAGACGGTCAGCAAATCAGCTTTTCTCTCAAGCCTAACCATCTTTTTGAATCAAAGTCATGGCTTCAGACGCATTCAAACTAATTTGCAATTCTAATTAAAACTGTGTGCATGGCGCACTCAAAAAAAGACACAAACTCGAGGCGGCTTTCTCACAAGAGAAATATGACCGGAAAAAGAGAAGTTTAATCAGAAAATCAGATGAAAAAGTGGGAAGTATGGACTGAAGCAGAATGAAACGCTGAAAAAACCTAGATTTCGAAAAATTTAAGTATGGGTGGAGAATAAGGGGAGGATAAACTGGATAGAAGTTAGTTTGGGTAAGTTTACGACCAAAACTTTACACCTATCCTGAGAAAAGTAATAACTTGGTCGTAAACTATACGATAATAACCGGACATATGGCTTTCTGTGTTGATTATGAGTGAAGTGAGAACCCCCTTGACGGGGATCGCGTAAATATTCCACAATGATCGTCACCCATTCCCCTACCTCTGTTCGCTGCTCGTTTGTGACGGCAACTACACAACATTCGATGGCGGGAGAGTGTCAGACAAAACTGCAATACGGGGATGAGAACACATGTTTTCTGTCCCAATGTAAAGCAGTCCAACTGAGCAGACGTCCACGAATACCCGGATGGATCCGTCGTCAGCAATTATAATCAATTCGGAGATGTTGCCGGTTCTCAGCCATGAACTTGTCATCGGAGTTGATTGGGTTACATCGTAGAAGCGCCTTCTAGCCGAAAAAAGAATGGAATATCGTAAAAATAACGTTCAAGAGTTCATCGGTCGAGTCATAATTAATCACAGGTCTAATTGAGTGAGTTTCTTCATAAGCAATTTGTGAGATACGCCTATCTCCGCACCTAGTGAATATATACGCCTCAGTAAATGATCAAAATTGTCCGCATTAATCAAAACATCAGGGCGATTACAACGTCACTGCCACACTGCTCGATAGATCAAATCCAGCCTTCCACTTAGTACATATCAAGCTGTCAATGACGAGCTTGCTCCAGGTTTCCATATAAACTATAATAGTTCCCACTAGTCTTTCGCCCATAGGCCATGACCGAATGAATCAATCGGCTTTAAATAAATTGATTCGTATGTCGAGGGAGCAGTAAATAAATATACATGCAACGAGATGTGTGTAAAAGATAGAGTAAGCAATAAATAATTGAATAAGTGATGTTTTGTTAACTGCTGTTTTAACGTCGCAGTGCGCGAAGCGAAAGTCTCACGAGATTGGCGATTTGTGGGCAAAACTCCATTCTTGAACGGGACTCGAACCCGTTCTTGCCCTTTCCGGGGACGCCTCAAATACGCTTAAGCCGACTAAGCATGATCGCTCCCCTGAGCTGGATGGTTAGTGACTTCAAAAAGCTTGTAGGGTCAAATCGGAAGCAGCGTCCAGGCCTCCATATTAAGTTGAACACTCCTGGAATTTTGAATGAAATGGCGCACCCAACACACAGCAATGAAGTAAAAACGCGTTAATTCATAGCGCTTAATTTTTAACAATATCCTTCGAAGAGGTGCGACTGATGTGTTTTTGCGGTGGCTTGATGATTCTCATTGACGCTGTACCCGGATTTACCGTAGGTAGCGGTTCTGACGAGTGGAACCGTACTACTGAGGGGAATACCATCTCATCATGGTTCATATCCCCAGAATATCACGGGCAAAAATGTTGTTTAGTTATTGACTAGTATTTCCAAAATATTACAGTAGTGGACATGGCCATTGAGTGGAACCAATTGACTTCTGGTTCATGACGTGCGCTTATCGTGAGTGGTAATCGCTCATAAAGCACCACTATTTGGGATTTGTAGCCGACTCCGACAGAGCCGCCCATTGACTACATTCAAGTTACACAGAAGAGAATCATCCCCGAAGAAAGAGCAATAAAGCAACGATAATGGTTAAGAAAGAATTAAAGAAAATATCGGAAAAATAAATTACAATGATTGTTACTGTAAAGGAAGAGGTAAAGGGACCATTGGAAATTATGAAAGTTCGAAAAGTGATTGTGACTTTACTGGATTTTCCAATTCTACCTGTTTTGAATGGATTTGTCGTAGATTCATGAAAGTTTTCGGTGATCATTGAAAGGTTTCCGTCTTTACCCGCGTTTTTCTTACGGAAAAACCAAAAAAACTGTGTGCACCTCGGCTTACACATAAGCAAATAAACGAATTAATCGTATTTTGAGTTTCCCAAGCAATTTACCACATCAAATATGAACATTCTCGAAATTTATTCAAAGTTTTTAAAAACTCTATAAGAATTATTGAGATCAAAAATTTATAGAGGACTCGAAATTGCCGCTGAGAATTGGAGAAATAAAAAAGAATAAAAATATTCGGATAGAAGTGAATGTACTCGAGACAACTTACAAAATGCACTTTTAGTGGCGTGATCCCTTTTTATAAGAAACTCTGATAAGCGTCCCAGTCTAGTGCAACGCTTACAGCAGTGTCAAGCATTTTTTATGCCAAATATTATATTCTGGCATATTCCTCAGACTAGATGATTTCTTTGTAAATAGTGAATGATGAGAAGAAATTAGCACGCTTCTACTAATTACAAAATCTGCTGGGCGGAGTTTGTTCAGGGGGCGGTCCTGTTCGTATAAGGCGTCGAAGCCGTTGCGATTTTTCTGCACAATGAATTCAACTAAAAAAAATCAATTTGTACGGGATTGCGACTCATTAATCCAGGACGCGTTTCTCATAGATGAGCTATTCAGATCGATTAATCGCTTAGTTTAATCAGACCATCCTCTCCGACGACTAATTGACATCAGTTTCGCTCGTATAAGATGAAAAACTGATACGAGCATATGCTATTGCAACGAAAGTATAATTAATGTATACATATAATGTAACACTCAAATGAAGGATAGGAAAAGTTGGAGTTTTTGGCGTGAATCAACCCCATGTTTGGGTTGCGCCCCGCATACGCCTTCCACTCAGAATCGTAGTGGCGGTTTGAATGCGAATGGACTTACATATACCAGCCGAAGTACAAGTCGGTGCTTTAAACTCCCAGACAAATCGGTACCAATTACCTGACCCGGGGAGGGATGGAAGGCTTGGTTGGCCTATGCGGATATCCTCCTTCTTTACAAGGCATGAGTAGCGAAAAGTGCCGCATTGGCCAAGCGATCATGCAATCCTTTGAAGAAAAATCTCGCAGAACACTCTTTCCAATTTTCTGAGAACTATCTGAGTCTCGCAAATGTTTCAGAAAAGGAGGAAGTATACTTAGAAAAAAATCAGTCTTTTTGCAGGAAAAATAATAAGAAATAGTGTAAGGCAAAGTTTTTTCCGAATAGAATGACTNAAAACTGATAGCCTCTTGCTTTTGTTTGGTACCTACTCTTTTCTACCAATTTTATTACCTACTCAAGAGGTGATTAAGTTGATAACCCCAATCGATACTTGACGATACCACAAAATCTCACCACAATCCATCTCCCTAAGAAAATAGACAACTGCTTTTCTCACTCATGAAACGTGAGGAACGTCGTTCTGCGAAAAGGATCAGTAGCAGGCAGTGAAAAATGGATTGCTCGTTGTTCAACGAAAAACTTTGCGGAGCGAAAAAGATGAATCTATTTTGAAAGTTTCAAAAACAGACAGTGATCGACCGGGGATCATTTTGGAGGGAGAAAATCTTAGCCGATTTTTGTTTCGCAGACTAAACAGATCAAAGAAACCTTTAAGGGCACAAGTAATAGCTGTGAATGATGTTTTACTCAAACAGTGAAGGAATAAAAGTTTCGGCAATGAGGAATACTTAGCAGATGACAGTAATCCAAAAACAGATGGTGTTTGCAAAAGCGATTGACGAATTTTGTGCTGAGCAAATCAACAGGTAGGTAAAGGAATAGTTAGAATAGGTCCCTGTTTACAGTACAGTCCACAGACAGACGGTACCGCCTACTTAAG